CCGAGGACCTATCCACGTCATCATTTACCCAGAATGCTTTGTGTGTAAATAAAATGGTTCAGTCCATGTTAAAATATAATTTTAAAAGTTATAAAAACTAAACATCCTACAGTATTTTTAGTCTTTATTTTACAGTTAAAATAAATGTTTATCAAATAAATAATGTTACAACTAATCATGGATCCCTTTAACAGCTTTCACCTGCTTCACATGTAAACAAAATTTCTGCCAACACACGCTCATCAACACACCTACCAATCAAATGTGGTGCATGACTGTGGTGGGGTCAAAGGTCAGCTGAAAGTATCTTTGTTTTCTGTCAGGGCTGTTAGCAAAATGCCTTCAATAAAAGGTTTACAGCACCTGTCCAAACTGTCTGTACTGACCCTTCAAAGTGGTAATACACACACTTTTACACTCTATATATTTGTAATAATAAATCTGTTTTTAAAGAGACAGGATTAGATGCATGTGGTGTCTGCTCAGTTTAACCCTTCACAGATGGAGCTCTGTGGTCACAGGCCGACACATGGCCTTGTTTAATCAACGACCTGTGCAGCAATTTATCAAATGCCTCCCACCATTATTATGCAGATGACACCATCATATATTGCTGTTCATCCTCCCTCAGCCAAGCATTCACCTTCCTTCAGGACGCTTTTAATATTATCCAATCACATCTGCTAAAACTTAAACTGGTCTTAAATGCTGATAAAAGCAAGATCATGGTTTTAACCAACAGAAAACAGCAAATCAGACAGCCAACAGCAAATCATTACACAACAGGGAACGCAAATAGAAATGGTCTCCACCTTCAAATATCTAGGTTTCCACATTGACAGTGACCTGTCTTTCAAAACCCACATTTCAAAAATGGCCACTAGGCTCAAGCTAAAGTTAAGTTTTTATTACAGAAACAAATCCTGCTTCTCATCCAAAGCCAGAAAACTACTAGTAGCTGCTACATTCATGCCAATATTAGACTATGGTGATGTGCTGTACATGAGTGCTGCGTCAAAATACCTGCAGTCCTTAGACTCCAGTTACCACAGTGCTCTTCAGTTCATTACTGACTCCAGTTACCACAGTGCTCTTCAGTTCATTACTGACCCCAGTTACCACAGTGCTCTTCAGTTCATTACTGACCCCAGTTACCACAGTGCTCTTCAGTTCATTACTGACCCCAGTTACCACAGTGCTCTTCAGTTCATTACTGACCCC